TTGTTTATCAAACGAGTACAATAAAATGTTAATCTTAACAAGAAGAGTCAGAACAATTCATATTGTTTAATCGCTATAGATATCTTAGACAAGCATTATTTGAAAGATAAACTATATATTGGTCTAAAACTTTCAATTATTATCCTTAAGCATGACAATTTTTTATTTACCCAAATTTCGCCTACGAGACCTTTTGTCCTCACCCCAAAAGTTCTCAAACCAACCAATTTCCTTTTTTCGATTCGAAACTTTTTTTTGTCATATTATATTATGGACCCATCCACCAATAATGTAACAAAATTGTCTATGGTAACACGTAACTTCATGTTTATCTTATTCCAGATATTATCTTACCTAGGCATATTTTTTTTTTCAATCATAATAGTAGGGATATAATATTGTAATGTGTGTGTGCATGTAATAATAATTTTTAGAGATTTTAAAAATGGCTATCCATTATATATAACTAGTAAAATGATATAATCGAAGAAAAGATTTGATGTATCTTTGTAATATCCGAAAAAATATTTTTTTTATTAAATCATGATCGTTAAACCCCTTCGACTCTCTAGGATTTGATTTTTCAAAATATTTAATGTATCTTTGTAATATCCGAAAAAATATTTTTTTATTATTGTATGACTGTAATAGAAAATAGAGATATTTGTAGTCATTCTTAATTAATTGTGAAATATGTATTTATATAATACCAAAAAATATATAGTATCAAAATAAAAACAAAAATATTTTGTGTTTCAAGACATAAAAAAGCATTATAGAAATGAGCACATTCCAAAATGGGACCTGTCAAAATAAATTGTGTAACTGAAAGTTACATATTTTTATTAAATGGTGAACATATTTTTATTAAATGAACACATATTTTTATTAAATGCACTCATATTATTATTAATTGCTGGCTGAATAAAATTTATTAAAACTTGCCAGAATTATATATACTAGTATTTGATTCTGTGCATTTGCACATATGTAAATAAAGTATTATAAGTTATTTGTATACATATAATATTAAAATTATAAGTTAGATAATGATATTATATTTTAAACATAGGGTATTATAAGTTATATTTATGCATATGATATTAAAATTATAAGTTAGATAAGGGTATTATATTTTAAAATTTGATCATTGGTTAAAATAAATAGTACATAACGATTTTATTGTATATGAATCACTATATTGATTGCATAAAATAAAATAAATAATATCTTTTTTGAATTTTAAGGGACTATGACTAATTAATTAGTTAAATATTAAATTTATTATAACAATTGCTTATGCGATTTTATAAAATTTTATTATGCCATTAAAAAAATTAATTTATTTAAAAAATAATCGCTTAAACAGATAAAGAAATATTATATTAATTTTATAATAAATTACTCGAACAAAAAGTTTTTACAATAGAGTTTCTTATGTTTATGTAACTTTCACATATCATTTAGTGTAAAATATAATTATTAATTGTAATAATAACTATTATATGATTCAGTTTCCAGAGGTGGTGAAATTATTTTGTATTGTTGTCAGTATATTTGTCCATGTTGTACATGTGTTGTATTTTTTCATTTTCACCATGATTAATTATTGTAGTGATATCATAAAAAACAATAGATATTTCAAATAAACATTTATAAAAAGTTTTTTTAAAAATTTATATTCTGAATACATGCTTATAATCATGAGTTTCTATTATAAATAATTCGTAATTAAATTAGCATAGTAATGATTATATAAGAAATTAAAAAAGTAAGCATTTTTAGCTAATTAACCTAAATTGATATACTTAGATAAAACAGTAGTCATTAGTATGGATTTTGTAACTGTCCAAAATTGATGTATTTTGTAAAAGTAACGGTTTTTGTATTAGGAAAGTTTGTATTATTTATTAAGTAAAATTTATTAGGTTTTATTTATGAGGTAAAATTAAATGAAAGGTTAGCTATTATATATATAGATAAAGATATTAAAGTAGAAATGTTTTATTATTCCTAGTGCTTGACTTGTCGATAATTAGTGAGGTGTCACACTTTCAACAGCCTATAACAAATTAATCTAGACATTATTATTTAGGTCACGATGCGCATAATTATGGATTTGTATTCACCAATTAATCTAAAAAATATTAATCTTGTGCTGTTCGTTTCTTATTTAAAATTAAAATCAATCAATGGATAAGGATATTTTCATCCTGCTGGACATTCCTGGCTTATAGAGCAACTTTTGTAGTATTAAAAAAAGTGGCAAATTTGTAGTTGCGAGAGTCGTGTTAGGTAGAGCATCCAAACCATGGATTTTTATATAGTTATTACGCCTCTCAAGCTTATGCGTGGGGATTAAACTATGCACCTTTTTAATTAATAGTTTTACATAAATTGACAAATGAAATCTTCGAAAAAAACATAATCGGACGGTTGGATCAATTAGGGGTGAGCATGGGTCGGTACGGTTCGGAAATTGATAAATCTCCAGAACCGAAGCGAAGTTCGGAGATCACTAAAATTCGATCTCCAGAACCGTACCAAAAAATCGGTTTGGTCCGGTTCAGAAATTTTTATTTTTTTGGTTCGGTTCGGTTCAATTTTCGGGACTATCGGAACGGTTTGGTTCGGTTCGGATATTCGGAGATTTCTTATCATTTTTTAATTTTTTTTGAATGACCACCTAGTTATATTTTATTTTTTATATGTTTTTTTTAAATCCAACATTCATCAATACTTCATCATACTAAAGAATTTATTTTTAAATCAACTTTAGAAGTAACCCTAAATTTTAGTTAAGACTAAATTCAACTAACATTGAAAATTTAAATTCAAACAAAATATAATACAGTTTTATATTAAAGTAATATTTGTTTAACCTTCCATACCATGTTAGTCATAAGATAAACTAAGGGTAAGTATCGATAACTTTAAGTAAAGCTTAATTTTTTTTTTTTAAATCTTTAACCTCCATTTATTTTTTCTTAAACATGAGAAATTCAATTGTAAATCAAGTATTAGTAAACATGAAATGTAAGTGAATCTTAGTTGTTATTACTATATTTTATTTGCATTTTAAAAATTCTCAAATTATACAGGATCAAAGTTGAGATAAAATATATTAATAACACGCATCTATTTTTATAATTCGGTTCTTAATTTCGGTTATTCGGTTCGGTTCGGTACGGTACGGGACGGTTCGGTTCGGTTCTCGATACGGATATTTATGAAATATCAAGAACCGTACCAATTATTTTTTTGGTTCGGTTCGGTTCGGAAAAAATCAAACGGTCAACGGATATTTTTCGGTTCGAAGTGATTTCGGTTGGAATGCTCCGAGTCCCATGCTCAGCCCTAGGATCAATATTTTGAAATGTAGTTTCCAACAAAAAAAAATTGGATCATTGAAAAATGAAACTTGAACAACAGTGACCATTTTGGATGATTGAGAACATCTTAAACCTGAAATTTCGAATCAAAATCAAATGAAAAAAATAACCGATTTGGAAACCAAAACCGCAACTAAAGAAGAAAAAAAAATATGTGGCATTTGCAAATGGGCTAAATTGTCATTTAGATTAACTTGTTGAAAAGCCTATAAATAGAAGCTCTATTTTGCGGGACAAGAAAGAAGAGAAATTTACTCCCTTTATCATTGCTTAGACAAATAGTATCAAATATATGATCCCACAAACTTATCATCAGAAGTACGATTTTTTTAATAATTAAAATAAACTGAGCAGTTATTTTGTGGCCTGATTATCCGTTAATTGGGAATCACTATCTTGTAGTTAATTAAGGCAAATATTATCTTCAGTTTTTAGAACAACCAACTACACACAATTAACCTCCCCAAAAAGAAAGGATACTCTCCCGTGAGTTTTTTTTTCTCTCTCAGGCAAACCAGGTTAGAGCTTTTCAATTGAGGGCTTTTCTCTCCTTCAATTTTCTCTCAATCTCTCAGGCAAACGCTCGTAATCTATCAAATTCTGAAGGCCCCATGAAGATTGACGAGGAAATCGGCCTCAATTGTTTTGTCTTCGCCGGATTACTCTTGGCCGTCGGTCGAGAAGTCCCGCCGAGTTCCTTCATCGTCAACGGCAGCGACTCATCTTCTGCCGCCGCCTGGTCACTTTCCGCGGTGACCGTCTTTCCATGGTGATGAAGAATCTCTGCCGGCGACGTACACTCCGGCTTTTTCGATCTCCGCTCGCGGCCCGATCTCCCTGTGATGACAGCGTGCCTCCACTGTTGCATCCACCTTTCACAACCGCCGCCTCGTCAAAATTTCGCGGCGTCCAACCCGCCGTCGTTCTACTATTGCTACCCTCTTGCTGAAAATTCATTAGCCGTTCACAGAATACCGACTGATAGCGTCCGACGAGCTTGACGGTCCTCCTCTCTATTATAGTGATTAGATGTGTTGCAATAATATTTTGTGAATCAAATTATAATTCATACTTGTTTGTTAATTGTGGAGTTCATCTTGTTTGGATTTTGGGAATGTTTTTGTGCCTGTGAAGTCATTTGTCAGGGAAGTTTTTGTTGGATTTTTGTTGGTACATTGGCATGATGTTTTGTTGCATTTTTTGTTTTTTTTTTTTCTCCCTTTTTTCTGGTGAACTTCAGTGAAGGAATATTGGTTCTATTGCTTTTGGATATTTAATTTGCACGAGGTTAACCTATCAAAATACACTTTTCGGACCATTTTTTCCATCCTGTATTGTAATTTTATCTTAAGTTTTTAAGAGACTTACACACACATACTTTAAGTAATGTGTTTACCTAAAGTATATTATACCGGGTTGTAAACACAAAATAGAGACATACGCGTTTAACTAATGTATATTACACCGTGTAGTAAACATCCGGGTAGATAAGCACACATACCGTTCATTGTACATATATACATTTATATACACACAAGATAAACAACATATAAACATATTATTTATTCTGCAACATTCTACTAAAAGTAAGCAATAAGTAAACAACCATTAAGGAAAGATTATATAACTTCAACAATATCATTACAATATAAAATGTAACAGAAAGTTATATATAAAGGTACGTAAACAGAATAGCCGAACATCCACAAGTAAATTTGGCATCACGCTCAGAAGAAGCTAAGTTTATATACATAAACGGTATATAAACGGTACATAAATAGAATAGCCGAACATCCACCGGTCCAGGTCGCGCGACCACCGGCCTCCGCCAGCCTCCATTAGCCCAAGCCCAGGGATGCAACGAGTTTCTTCAGTCGTGTCGCCGTAATCAGCCATGAATCTGAGACGGTAAATTTGGGCATCACGCTAACAAGAAGCTAACTGTATATACATAAACGGTATATAGACGGTATATAAACAGTACATAAACAGAATAGCCGAACGTCCATCGGTCCAAGTCGTGCGACCACCGGCCTCCGCCAGCCTCCATTAGCCCAAGCCCAGGGACGCAACCACTCGCCTATGAGGTTCTTGAGTCGAATGTTTAACAAATTATATCCTAAAGGATATGTTTGCTAATGTATAAACAACAATATATATTGCGTATATATTACGTATATCTTGAAACATGATACATACTTTTGTAAACTGAAGTATATTACTTGTATTTGTTTACTTATCCCCGTCATTTTTATATACAAAACATAAACGTTAAATAAACAAAAAAAAGTCAGATCACACATAAGCATAATAAGTTATACTGAACATAAACGGTAGATAAACAAAATATTATCACACACAAGCCATTGACGAATATATTGATTTTATCTGACAAAGATTTGCTTCCTCAAACCAAACATCAAATCAGTGTCCACGCTTTAATTGAAGCATTAAGTCACATGAACACTTTTATCTCTGAACGTTTCGCCTACCACAATATTAGTATTAATGCATCCATCGACCACAACTCCAACTGTTCTGAAGTTGTTTATTTCCAGTTTATCTTCCGTATATTTCGCTGTTTTCAACATAGTATCTGCAGAATGTTCGACCCTCTGTAAAAACCATCATCTTCTGAATCTTCTTGTGCCGTTTCCAGACATCTTAATGCTGCTATATCACTCGAGGCCACATATTCCTGAAAATAAACAATTTTTCCTCAACAACAAGACGAACGAAATCTACTGTAACATCAAGAATTAAGAACTTCGCATCTTAATTCAACCAAAATCGAACCAACAACCCACAATAAACTCACATCTTCAACTTTTTATAACCCAAGCTCATAACACCTCAACACAAAAACCTTATTCAAGCCCAAGAATCAAACTTTAGCATCAGCTAATCAAGAAACAACAATCTTACATTTTCAGTGGACCTAAAAACATAAATAAAGGTAACATAAACTAATAAAAAACTAACCTCGTGACCATAATCACCGCCTCGTTAAACAGGGGCCCCCTCGGAGAAGGTTTCCTTGATGAGTGCAACGAAAAAATCTCGACATTGGTTAAGTTCGACGGTCGGGGGATCAACAAGAGTCTGGAGTTCGACCCGCCGCCGTGCAACCGCCGCAAGAAGATGAAACTTGCATAGAGATTTGGGAGAAATTACAGAAAAGAATGATTCACATGAACAAGATATTTGGTAATTGATTGCGAGTGTAATTGCGTCAGTTTCGGATATCTTATTGACGGCGACTTTAGAACGGATGATAAGATCCGTAAAGATGAAAATATATTTTCACAAAGTCCTTAACTGATAAAAGATTTTATGAATCGTATTTTTAAAAATAAGTCTTATAATACACATAGATATATAAATTTCCCAAGAAAGAAAGAGTCAAATTGGGCTACGATAATATATCCATCTTTGGGCCTCGAACATACAAAATCCAGTCAACGCTCAACAAATCACAAGTTATTGGGCCCCCAAATCTCCATAAAAAACCCTAGCTAAATATAACTCTAATCATCCAACTCCAAACCTTAACAGCACCCCAAAATCCCAATACTCGCCGCCCCTACCACCGGAGCTCGCAGCCCGAACCCCAATCATCCCCGTCCAAAAATGCCGCCGAAGTTCGATCCCTCTCAGGTGGTCGACGTCTTCGTCCGCGTCACCGGCGGCGAAGTCGGGGCGGCGTCCTCCCTCGCCCCCAAAATCGGCCCGCTCGGCCTATCCCCGAAAAAAATCGGCGAGGACATCGCCAAGGAGACGGCCAAGGACTGGAAGGGCCTCCGCGTGACCGTCAAGCTCACGGTCCAGAACCGCCAGGCGAAGGTCACCGTGGTGCCGTCGGCCGCGGCGCTGGTCATCAAGGCGCTGAAGGAGCCGGAGCGTGACCGGAAGAAGACGAAGAACATCAAGCACAACGGCAACATCTCGCTCGACGACGTCATCGAGATCGCGAAGGTCATGCGCCCGCGCTCCATGGCGAAGGACTTGAGCGGCACTGTGAAGGAGATCCTGGGAACGTGTGTTTCCGTTGGCTGCACCGTGGACGGGAAGGATCCGAAGGATTTGCAGCAGGAGATTGCTGATGGAGACGTGGAGATTCCTCTGGACTGATGGTTTTTGGGACTTATTTTGAAGATGAATCTCTAGGGTTTGGATATTGTTCTCCTTTTTGCTCATATTTGTATCTTTTTTCTGTCTTTGTTCAATTGAATGCCTGGGCTGGCCTGGATACTGATGAATTTTGGAGCTGCTTGAAAATGAGACAGAATTTTAAATTTGGAATGACTGTTTGATTGGTTATGGATGGTTTTGGATTGTTCATAAAAAATCAAACTTGATGGCTTCTGGTGCAATGAGAGTAGCCTCTTGTTACGAGTGTTTTCGTTTGATTGTTTTCTGTTCATGATATTACCCTGCTTGCATATTGATTACATTTTATGACAAGTTAGAACTATTGGGAATGCTTTGTAACTTAGCATAGTGTACTTGTGTTTTGTGAGTTGTGTGTGCGCTTGTCTCGTTTGGCTTTGGTGTATAAGCTGCTTTGATCAAGAAATTGCCATTCATGAGTGGTGGGTTTGATACTTGTTAAGGGTATTGCATGTATGGAACTTTGTTGAAAACTTATAAGGTCATTAGGGTTATTCTTGTCTTGGTCTTAATTGGATTCGCATGTGTTGTGTTTGTTGATCCACACCAATCGACTTTTTTGTGTCCTTTGTTCAAAAGTTTAGCTTTTGCCCGTGATGATTCTGACGGGAGTGAACTTATGGTTAGAAACTAGTTAGACTAAATAATTCTTACGTAGGATAACTTTGATTAGTGCTCGGCTGCAGCTCAACCTAGGTTGAGGATTTTAAGCTCGAGTTCAATAACGTTTATGAAATAGTAAAGTTTGTTATTGTTTTGTTTGGGTTCTCTTTTATTAGAGCGGAAATTTGTGTTTGTGTTTGTTTATGTTCAGTTTGCTTAAACACACAAAATGTTATTCAAATTGTTCTGTTCTATTAACTCGAGTTTTATTTCTTCCAGTCGTTTTGATATTAGACGAATGAAGTTTCTTTTTGCTCGGATGAGCGTAAATTAACTTTTGTTTCTGAACTTTTTGTTCGTTTAAACCTCTGGTTATCGTTCAATCTAACAATTCTGCACTCTTTCGCAGAAGTGATATAAGGTGGCACAAACTTTACAAACGTTAGCGAACAGTTCATACTGACAACTAGAGATGTTATAAACCGATTGATCAGCTTCTCTCGGCTTGGCTCGTTAAAAGTCAAGTTTAGCTCTGCTATGCCGAGCTTTATAACAACTATTGACTTTCCACCTGAAGTATGATATGAGCATCTAACCTGAACAGTTGATTTGCTCTAGCAACAGTTATACAGTGTCATAGATTGATGCTATATTTTGTAAGAGCTCAAAGAAACACAATTGCTTAATTTTCACATTTATCCGGTGTTGTAGATAATAGATTGATGCTACCTAAGGAAATAAAAATAATGCTGGAAGGTGTTGTTCTTCTGTCACAGTAAATATCAAAATTTATGAAAACTTTTATATCTAATGGCTCCATTTTGTTCTACAAATTGCATCCTCGATATATCAAAATTTATGAAAACTTTTATATCTAATGCCAATTATGAAGTTTATTGATTCTTTTGCTGAATAATCCTTTATTTTTATTGTCTGCTAAAATAAACCTTGGTTTTTATAGGCTTACAGATTCTACTCACTGCTTCATGCACAGAATACACTTTGGGTTGAAATTTTAGGCTGAGATTTTTTTCTGAATGCATAATCAATGATCTGTTTTCGTTCATGTTTTT